TTGTGCTTTACTACAAATTTAGTACTTTGCTGCTTGTTTTTGAGCCATCAATTTTTATGATTTATTAATTGCATTCCATTGCTTTGTTATTAATATCATGTGGAGTCATAGCTGCTCACAATTCTTCTTAGTTTTATATTATGTGCAAATCTGATGTAGATAATATTCTTACTGGTCAGTCCAACAGTCATGCTATGCCAGTGACCTACTAGCCTTGGCATGATAATGTAGTTTACTCATCATTTGTCACGTACTTCTGGAAGCAAATAACAACACCTCCAACACACCCAGTGTTGTATGGCCTTGCTCCCTCTTAATATCAGCAACAAAGCATCTTTTTAAAAAAGCAAACCCTTTAATTTCAGCAGGTCACAACCACAAGTACCACACAAGAGCCCACAGATCAGAGTCCTTTGTCATTCCAAGTTTAAACCAACTCAGATAATCCAAACAGGAGTCACAGTCTTAAATGTGCCCTAGACATTCATCATGTGCCTATCAACCCCTATGCATAGTTGTTTACAGGTTTCTTGGACAACCTTGTGACCCTCCAGTTTTGCTTCTGTGTCTAAGCAGAACATTGGGTAAGCTTTTGTTTTTAACAGCCCCGAAAAATGCATATTTTAATTGTAAAGACAAAATCAAAAGCTGTTTCTATTTGTGCTATTCTGCTAGACTGGAGTGGCACCTAGAGGTTATGTAGCAAAAAATTGGAAAAGGAAACACCGTAACACTTGATCTCAGATTTGCTACAAGATTCAAAGTAATAATAAGATACAGATTAAAAACAAAATCTTGATTAAAGCATAAAAAACCTAAAATTAAAATAAGCAATAAACAACACTCCACCAATTAAAACTCCTTTCAGCAAAATCACCTTATAAGCCAGGGGACTGCTGGGATAAATTTTTTTACCACCTGATGGAACAGTGAGGGGGGCAACCTAGTGTCCCTAAAGAGGAAGTTCCAGAAGCTAGAAGTGGCCACTGGGAATGCAGTCTCAGTAGAATTTCCCAGGTTCAGGCCCTGGGTGCAACCCTGCAACAGTTCAGTGTCAGGGCCAATCAAGATGCGGGATGTAGTTATACTTAATAGGTTCCTTAACTCATCACCTCTCCAAGGATGCAACTAGGCCTCAGAGAGGTAGGAAAACAACAGGCTGGGGAAGCAGGGAGGGCAGGAGGCTGGGGCTGATGGCTTATGCCAATTCCTGTCAGCGCCCTCCCCCTCCCCTTTGTTTTGCCAAGGTGGCCCAAAGCGGCTGTCACGATAAAATGCATGGTGAGCGGTGCAGCAGTGGCAGAGCTCAACATCATGCCTGTCTGCATGTATTGAAAGCGTGTGAACCTCCAAATCAGGAGGCTTATGTGCGTTTTCAGCAGAAGACACTGAAATACACCCTGGCAGTTTCTCACATAGAATAGTAGAATTGGAAGGGGCCATGAAGACCATCGGGTCCAACCCCCTACTGTTGCAGAACACCACGTTACACCATCCCACTCAGATGGCTGTCCATGATATAGAATTCTGTCAGTTCCATGCAGAGCATCAGGTACAGCAACTCTGGCTAGGATCCCAAAAGCCAACTTCCCTGTTAGACAGGAAGGAGTTCTGTGATTGTATCTTTTCCTAAAAGGAGACTGAAACGGGGGCATAGGGGCAGGGCGGGGCTCTCTCTTTCCCCTGTGCTGATTCCCCAAAGCAAATCATATCCCCACAGCCATCACTTCTTATCTAGCATCAGCACAATTTATTTATTGGGTTTACTTGAGAGTTGCTGACTAGCATCACACTCTCTGAGCGGCCATTACAATAATAAATGCCAATAAAATAGCACTAGATAAAAGCGATACAATTCAAAATATCTTAATAAAATAGAAGATAAAATCACAAAATACATAATTATATAAAATGTAATATATTAACAGTGCAATTAGTCATAATGGTCTAAATAGTTGTGTCAGGCACCTAAAACTCTGCAAAATAGGCACCTGGTGAATCTCATGAGGTAAAGCATACAGATATGGGTGGTATAGAAATGTAACGACAACAACAACTGGGGTGCCACCACAGAAAACATAGATGCTGATATGTTTTCTGTTCCGCACCTAATAACAATTTGGCGGTAGGGGAATTGATTTTAGGAGAAGTGGTTAACTCCTTCCTTCATGTGGCACTCCCAAACCAAATCCCACCTCCTTTGCCCTTCAGCTGCTTTGAAAAGGTAACTACAACAGATCTTATAGGCCAGGCATAGTTTGCTCGTAAGGCTCCCAGCTGCCATCAGAGAACTAAAAGACTGTGCAGCTAATAATTTCATTACAGAAAATAATAGAACAAGCTCTGATAGGAACATAACTTGTTACAGTACTTCGCTCATCCCTTCTTTGAATGTCATGTTCATTCATTTCTAGCATTTGGTTCCAGCTTTCTAGGCAAATGTGTTCTGTCTTATGATAAAGACCTTATGGAAATCCTTTCTGAAAGTGAACATATACATTGCTGCATTGCTTAATTATACCAATTATCCTATTGGACACATTCAGCAATTGTTCTCATCAAATAAGGATTGGTTACTAATATTTTTTCAAGGACTGAAAAAAGCTTAGAGTTTATCATCATCATCATCATCAACAACAACAGAAGATAGTTTAGCTTGATTGAAAGCTCTTGCGTTTGCATGCGTGCAGGTGTGCAGTGAAAAGCACTGTTGACCTGCAGTAATCTGATGCAGGCTGCCTATGTACTTCCACTATGCTCTAACTGTACAGTGTATTAATTAATAAATAAGATATTACAAAAGCACCATAATTGCCCTGGGACCTCTCAGCCAAAGAAAATGTAAGTCAGAAGCTTTACTCCTGGGAATCTTGCTGCTTTAAGAAGTAGGAAGCGTACAACAGAAATGGACTTGCAGTCTGTATGCACAAAACAGGCAGGAGTGTTATCTGGGGTAAAAGAGAATACAGACATGCAAGAATGAAAAAGGGCAGGTCTTTAATATATGGAGGGTGGTATTTAGAAGGAAATTGTTTAATCAGAGCAACAGTAGAGGCACAAAACAAATCTGGTGTCTGAAGCAATAGCCAATGGAGACAAGATTTCTTAGTACATACAGCTGTTTCTTTCTTCCCATCTTTAGTATAAAATCGGAAGGAAGATACTACATAATTGGAATGTGCTCTCTTCCAGTCAGCATTTTTTTTATTTATCCCCCTGCCATCACCATCATTCATTTTTAAAAAGTATAGCATACCCTTCTTACAAAATACCCTAAGGTTATTCAACTAAGAATGCCTCATTAAAATCAATACAAAAAACACAGAAAGCAAACAGCAATGGTAGAATTAAAATGCTGAACTCAGCTTAGCTCAAAAGTTACTTGGAAGAGCTAGGATATAGTCTGCTGCCTGAACTAATATAGTGACTATTTGGAAGGCCTCCCTGTGGAGGCCATTCTATAAGGTTGGTGCCACAACCAAGAAGCCTCTGATGCTTGGGACGGTCCTCCAAGTCATTTAAAACTATATAGAATGAACTGAGCACAGAAACGAAGAGCGAATCAATCAGGATTGGTGACACAATGCTCTCATCAACCCACTCCCGTCAGCAATCGGGAGGCAGCTTTCTGTACTAGATGACGTGCTCCAACCAAAAAGAAAAGGCAAGGAAAAAAATCTGCATGTCTCCAGAAGGTTTCCGTGGTTGCTGTGTGGTTCCTGGGCTTTCACTCCGTGGGACAGCAGTTGCTTTTCGTATAGAAGCTCCCAGATTCAATCCCTGACATCTCCATGTTGAACTAGGAAAGTCCCCTGTCTAACATCCTGGAAAAGTAAACAGTGTGTTAAGCTAAGCAAGAAGAAATGTAAGTTTGACTCGAGTTAAGCCCGCTTTCCATATTCCTACGTTCCATCCAGCTGAGCAGTCTCCGTTTTACACCGGAAGGAAGAACGGAACTAGTGCATCTCAGGCAGATCCAGATAATCTGTGTCATCTCGGAGCTGAGAAAAGCAACTTCCTGCATTGGACTAGGAAGAGGCTCTCTTACACACACGCGCGCCCCTCCACCCCTTCTTAAGCTAGTTGGGAGCCTTCTTTTCCGTCACGGTGCTGATGCATTCACCTTCAAGAAATATACGAGCATCACCCTTCATGGCTCGGTACTGAAGTTTGAGTGAGAAAAAGGAAAAGCTAATTTCTACCCTTTCTACAGCTCTAGAACACCAGAATTCTACACCTGGATTGTATGCAGAGATTGAGGAACGCTGCCCTTTTAAAATCTCATTGGCTGGTTGCGTTGTCACTCAGGTGGATCTCTGCAAGTGCGGCCAACTCCCCAATCAATTTATACAAACAACCCATCGGATCCTCGAGACTGGGACAGATTTATCACCTCCCCTCCTCCCATTGGCCTATATCTTGCCGTTGTTGCTTTTTATATGCAACCGTACACTCTCTCTCTCTCTCTCTCTCTCTCTCTCTCTCTCTCTCTCTCTCTGCTGCTCTCTAATGCTTATTAGCCCCAGGAAAGAAGGAAAAGTTGATCCTCCTCCTGCACTTTGCTCCTGAAATTCAAGTCGGTAAAAAGCTGTCTATTACTTCTTCCCCGGCATTCTATTGGTCAAACTGAGATGAATGGGGTTAATATTCCCGCCCCTTTGAGGGCTTCCTTCGCCTGCCGCCGCGGTGGCGGTAGCCGTAGTTCGCTCGCTCTCTGATTTCGCTCTCTGCGCGAGCGGTGGCTGGTGGAGGATCCGGTGCCTAGGCGAATCCCGAATTCCGATTGGAGGATGCGGCTGGGCAGGCGGGTTCCGAACGTGGGGAGCTTGGAGCAGAATTGGCCACTCAGGGAAAGGGTGTGGCGAGGGGGTGGAGCTCGTAGCCTGTCAGTGAATTGGGGTGGCCGCGGGAGGGGAAGAAAACGGTGCGGGGAGGAGGAGGAGGAGGAGGAAACGGCGGCAGCTCGGGGGCTCGTCCTGAACCGCCGCCGCCGCCGCCAACAGCTCCTCCTCCATGGCCGCCGCGCTTCCCGGCGTGGTCACCTCCGCCGTGCTGCATGTGCTGACGGCGGGGGAGGCGGTGGCCGCCGAGGCCGGGCCCGGAGGCTTCGGACCCCCGCCTCCCTGAGGAGCAAGAGCCGAAATGGCAGTGCCGGCCGAGCAGGTAGGAGGACGAGGGCGTTCGGCGCTCTCCCCTCAGGAGGCCCCTTTCGTCGCTTGGCGTCTCCTCGCCGAATAGCTCGAGGACCCTCCATGAGGCGGGAGGGGGCGCGATGCTTTCCCCTCCCCCGCGCGGTTATCCTTCCGTTGCCTTTCTCCACGCAGAGAGATCTGAGGGAGCCAAGTTAACAGGCTCGCTCTGCTGCTCGTTTTTTTGCATGGTGCAAGCAGGGCCCCAGTTCCTTTCTCTGAACCTCCACTATGTGAGACGCTTGACCTAAATGGACTGGGACCATTGATTTCCCTGGAGCTGCCCAGTAGCCCTTCCTGTAGCTGCTGTGCTCAGGCTACCCTGTTCCAGGGGAAGGTTAAACAAGGCTTCTTCCCCTACAGTCTCCTTGACCTGCCCCTGAGGGGGAAGCACGATATTCTCCTCGCATCAGTAATTGGGGAAAAAAGAGGTTTCCTTAACAAATCCTGAAGGTGTGTCATGGTATGTGCTAATCCCTTGAGGTAGTGACCTCTCTTTTTCTGCTGCCTGCCAACAAAGGAGCAGTGTGTTCTTCCTTTCCCCTAGGCAGGTGAACAATTACTATTTGAACACCACAGTGCACACAGCATGTGACCATCATTTTAGTTTATTTCCATTGTATTTAGATGTCATCACTCCTGACTTTTCAGACTAGGCACTGAGAATGAAAATAGCACCTTGCTGGAGTGCAGCTACCTCTGCTCTGAGGTTTGAACCTCTTCTCCTGAGATTCAAGGAGGAGAAGGCTATCAATGGCTGCTAGTCCCATTAATGTACACATTTGGCTTTAGTGTTAATGCCTGTGTCTTTGCTACTTACACTATATACTTTTTATGCCAGTTGCTGGGGAGCACAAATAGGAAGAGTCTATTGCCATTTCATCCTGTTGGTGGACTTCCCACAGGCTTTGAGTTGGCTACTGTGGACTACGTAGGTCTTTGGTCTGATTCAGCAAAGCTCTTAAGAACTTAAGGCCATGCCCAATAGTTGAATTGCACCATATTAATGTGCTGTGGCAACTTCTTTTTGTCCCATCAGTATTGTCACACCCTTTATTTTATTAATAAAATGCCTTGAGGACAGGGATTCATGTGGCCCAAGGAATTCATCTCTGTGTGTTCTATAATTTTATTTCATTTTCTGTTATCTATGGGATATCTGAAAAGAAAGAAGAGCTCTCCTGTGCAAGAAGAGATACCGCCGCTATTATTTTTTATTACAAAGTTTTTGGTGATTGGAAGGTTGAGAGAGAACACATGTGAGTGTTTACCTGTTTTGGGAGGTGTTAAGAAAATGCAAGCTAGTCTGCTGCCCATGGTGACTTTTTTTCCTTTCTGAGTTTCCTCTGCCTTAGAATGTTTTTGCCTTTTTGATCTCTAGAAAAGTTTCAGTTTCACTCATTCCCACCAATTCTATCTGCTGAGTGCTTCTTAATTCTCTGTGAATGCTGACTTTTAGGTTGTTCTTTGGTGACTTTGACTTTTTCATGGTCTGAGCGCACCCAGAAGGTGGGCTGTCATGGGCCTGTGTTAACTGTGGGAAGTGTTGTGTTCATTTCTGGTGGGCTTTAGTAATTAGGACAGAAATCTAGGACATTTGATTTTCTTAAACATTTATATGCAACTGCTTTTTATTGAAATGCTACTTCATACATTTGGCTTTAGTGTTAATGACTGTGTAATTAATTTGTCTAAAATAGCGAGTGATGTAACATTGTTGCAGCTCTGTTTTGATTTCAAGAGAATATCTTGAAATAGTCAAGTTACATAGAAGGTAGCCAGTACAGAAGGGTAATGGTTTAATTTTTTTTGATGTCCAGGGCCTTGCTGTGTTGGCATTAATTAAACTCTAAAGAAAGCAATGCCGTTCTACTAGCCTGCATACCATCAAGTACCAGTGGGAAGCTTTCTAATTTTATTAGACATTTGTTTTTAGCTCTAGTTGAAATCCAGTGTTGCAGCTTAAACAATGGGAGAACTGTTTGCAAACAGCATGCCTTGAATGAAAGAAGAATTAATGTATGCATGGGTGCAGACTGTTTCTGTGGCATGCTTAGTACTGAGAGAGGAAAACCCAACTGTGAGCCAGAGTTAGGAAGTATCCATTGGCTATGTCTGTGTATAAGGGCACACTATCAATGAAAATCTTCTGGATATCAATATACTGTAGCAACATAATATTGTAAAAATGCTTGGCTTGCAGAGACAGGCTCCTAGATGGCTTGGTCTTTGCTTCTACTTTGGTAAAGTGCCTTATATCTAAGCTAGTGCTTAACATAGCAGTAGTGGCAAACTAACACTACTTTCTAGCTTAGGCAATAATTTTTTATGATAAAGAGTGAATGATTGCTTGAATTCTTGGCCTTCAGGTGTCCTTCAAACTTAATATTTGACCTCTTCACTCTTTAGGTTAGCAGTTTGCAGTCCTGTCACAGCTGAATTGAAAATGAAAAGTGATTTCTTCTCTGAAGGGTACTAGGGCTATGGAAGCATTTTAGACAATAAGATAAAAAGTATCACTTTGTCATTCACAAAGTACTGGGTCCTTTGAGGAACTTAGCTTGTTAATCATTTAAACAGAGTTTAGCAACCCCTTATTGATAGCAGCATTTATGTCCTGATAGTTTTTGCCATGCCAATACAATGCATCTAAATGCTAACAGATATGAAAGGTTGTTTTACATGAGTTGATGGTTCAGACACTGTCCCTGAGAGAGATCTGCTGAGTAGTTCTTCATTACTATATAGTACTTTTTCTTTCCAATAGTGTTTTAATTACTATATCTTACTTTCAGTTGGCCATATGCTGCCTTGTTTGGTTTGCCTTTTATCCTTTATATCAGAATGATCCAAGGACTCAGCGGTCTAAACAAGGGTAGGCAACTTGCAGTCTAAACTGTTGGGAGGATCTCAACTCCCATCAGCCAATGGGTGAGGTATTATGGGAATAATAGGCCAAAACATCTGGAGAACTGGAACTCTTATGATCCCTCATGATTGACTATGTTGGTTGGGAGCACCAATTGTACAGGTGAAGAAATTGTTCCATTTATAGATTACAATACATTGCCACTGAAAAAGCTGAATAAAGCAGTAATTTACTTAACCTCTACAAGTGATCAAGAGCATTGTGTTTTTCCCCCACTAACACTTATTTTGGAGAAGAACTTGTATGATAGGGAAACTGCCAATTATTCTATTTGTAACTGAGCTTACAACCTAGCACCAATGTTACAAGAACATGTGTTGCAGAATAGCTAATATAATTATATTTTAGGGAGGATTTTGTGTTAGTTTGTCAGAATAAAGGCAAGTTTTAGTTTTCATTTTTAGATAATCTGCTCTGAATGTTACAGCTAATGATTGAATACATACTTCAAGTGTAGAATTCGTAACTGTCAGATACCTAATAAAGCATTATAGTGTAACCTTTTTTACAGCTAGTCGTGCCTTGCTGTATGATTTACATAATCCCTATATGCTTCATTGCTTTCTTCTGAAGATTTGTCTATAAGAAGGTAGAAACTACAAAAAAAATAATAAAAACATTTCCTTGCTTAAGTCCTAGGAGCTTGGTACTTATTCCTCTTTTTCCTTGCCTTTTATAACACAAAATTTGTGTTCCTTCACAAGGTTTGCCTTTAATTGAGCAGCTGATCAATTTTAATTGATGGGTTACCTCCATTATTGCATCTTGGTGTGATAGATCAGCTTGTAGTTTTCATGTGGAGACCACAACTAGTTGTCTTCATTTTGGTTTAGTGGCAGCCTAGATTAAAACTTCTGGAGTATCTAATGTGTTGCTACTACCTGGATAACTTATAAAATATGAATCATGTTAACCAAGATAATGAATTTCAGCTTTGATGTATAGTGGAACACTTGCTAGAGTGGATACCTTGAAAAGGAAAGCAGCTAAGGATGGCTTCATGTCATCAATGAAACAAAAAGACTTGACTTCTGTTATTAAAATCTATCATTCTCGCCTGCCCCTATCCCTTGTCAAACCTCTTGTTCACTGATGACTTGTAACTTTGGGAGACAGAAAGTCTTTGCTAACTTTTCCTGGTCACTCACAAAATGTTAATTCCAATATCTGCTCCCTCACTGTTGCACACTGGGATTGGGATGGAAGGAAGGTGGAATGGTGTAGAAGTCTGAGTACTTTTGCCCTCTCATTGTTCCAACAATGAAATTTATTCAGAATGTACTATAATGTTAGTTGTAAGTCTACAGGACATAACAAGCTCACAAAAACTTACAGGCTCACCTGGTGACACAGAGATAATTCACTTTCATCTTGCTTGGCATAAATGGAAAAAGAACCAGATTGTATAAATCTTCCCTGCATGGTTGATTGCAGCTGATTACTTGCCTTAGGAGACTAGACGAGTGGCTAGACATGACCCCACCACAGTCTGAAATCTTGTCATTGATGTATAGTGAGTGTTTGATCCTATATCTATATCTTTGAGGATAAATTCTAGATGGGTAGCACTCTTACTCCATTGTTGCTAGGTTGGTAACAACAAATAAGGACACTTTGAGATGGAGCTTCCTGTCTCATTGATTAGAAGGAATTCTGTAGCTTTCTCTAACTTTTTCTCTTCAGTAGATAAGCAATGAAGTTTACTGGGTGTCATTACTTAGCTTCAGCCATGAAGCTCACTAGGTGACTTTGAACCAGTCACCAATTCTCAGCCTGAACCAGCTCAGTAGTTGTAACGATAAAATGGAGAGGATAAAGACTACATAGGCTGCCTTGGGTTCCTCCCAGGAGAAAAAAATGTGCAATATAAATGTAAACTAATGATGCTTTGGATGATGGTGATATGGTAAGGAAGTCAGAAGTGGTGGCAAAACACAGGAGTGTTACAAAGGGAAGAAATATGTCTGGATGTCCACTCCATGAAATTTCATAAATGAGGGATGATACCAGCATGATAGTCTTATTTGACATTAGGTTTTGTAGCC